TTGCAAAGGTGAGACAACAGGGATAGAAGTGGAGCAGGGCAAGGAAGGAGAGAGGTGGTGGTAGGAAAGGCAGGGAGTTGTCTCTTCCTATGTACTTTCACATAAATTTTATGAGAAGTTGTGATTTGCCATTACTGCAGTAAAAATGCTATTAGGTTTGGGTTTGTTCTCAATTTTGTTTTCTACTAAATTATTGGCAAAAGTTAGCTTTCATGTGAAGAGAAAGAAGCAGGAAATGCCAGTGAATGAGCTCAAGCTGTTTATAACAGTGTGTGCTTTATTTAGAGACTATGGTATATATAATGTGGGAGTCTGAAAACCCATGCTCAAACTGTGACGCCAGCAGTGTTCTGATCTGGTACTGTGGCCACCCTGACTTCTGCACTCTGATGTTTGTTTGCAGACTGCAGGGGGTAAGGTGTGTTTTTTTTGTTTGGTTTTTGGTTGACTTTTTTTTTTTCTTCTTGGTTAACCATTCAATGGAAGAATCTTTAAGCTGCAATCCCTTATGCCTGTTCGTTTTCATTTTCACATGCACGGTCCTGCACCTGGGTCGGGGCAATCCCAAGCACAAATCCAGGCTGGGCAGAGACTGGATTGAGAGCAGCCCTGAGGAAAAGGGTGAGGGGGTGTTGGTTGATGAGAAGCCCAACGTGAGCCAGCAATGTGCGCTCGCAGCACAGAAAGCTGCCCGCATCCTGGGCTGCATCCCCAGCAGTGTGGCCAGCAGGGCGAGGGAGGGGATTCTGCCCCTCTACTCCGCTCTGGGGAGACCCCACCTGCAGTGCTGCCTCCAGCTCTGGGGCCACCAATATAAGACCTGTTGGGGCGGGTCCACAGAAGGCCATGACGATGATCCGAGGGCTGGAGCACCTCTCCTATGATGGCAGGCTGAAAGAGTTGGGGTTTCTCAGCCTGGGGAAGAGAAGGCTCCAGAGAGACCTTATAGTCTCTTCCACTACCTAAAGGGGCTACAGGAAAGCTGGGGAGGGACCTCTTGATCGGGGAGTGTAGTGATAGGATGAGGGATAACTTTTTTTTAAACTGAAAGAGAATTTACTCTGAGAGTGGTGAGCCCCTGACACAGGCTCCCCAGAGAAGCTGTGGCTGCCCCATCCCTGGAGGGGTTCAAGGCCAGGGTGGGCAGGGACAGGGCTTGGAGAGCAACCTGGTCTAATGGAAGGTGTCCCTGGATGTGGCGGGGGGGTGGAACTAGGTGATTATTAAGGTCCCTTCCAACTCTAACCATTCTTTGATAAGATTCTATGATTTATGTATAATGCTAACAGTTGGTATCATGTAATGTCAATATTTTTCCAAATATTTTCAGAGTCCTTTTAGACAGATTCATCAAGTAAAAACAATTAAATGAATGAATGAATTGTTTTGCTTAAGAAAGGAGTGTAGGCTTTTGGAGTTAGCACACTGCAAGAGAGTCTTTATACAATATCTGGAATATCTTTATCTCCTGAAGCTGAGACAGTTCAGTGAGTAAAGTATGCTGAGCACTATTCTGGCCTCACTTAAGTAATGTTGTTTGTTACTGGTAACCTTCCTGCACTTTTTTCAGTAGTTTTACTAATGGGATTTTTTTTCAGTAATTTTACTAGTGGGATATTACTGAATGTTCAGGCAGTACTCAGGGCAGTACTACTTGGGCAGTAAAAGGACAGATGTTATTACAGTAAGTGTAAATGGTGCCTGACCATTCAGGTATTGCTAGTTTTGATCATCAATAGAAATTGTTTGAAAAAAATATTTTTAAGAGCTTTGCTGTTGAAAGAGGGTGTTAATGCAACGCATTGCAAGTTGATAGCACATACTGTTTTGGGTTTTTTTTTGTAGTGTTATGCTACTTTCTGCTCTTTCAAGACGTTAGTCTGCATAAGCCTGAGCACTGGCAGGAAAAGTTATGCTTCTGCTGTAAAGCAGGTGATAAAAATGCCTGCAGTAATCCAGTTGTGTACACTCCTTAGAAAACTCTGGGTAGAACTAACTGCCGTCTGTTGTTTTACTCACTGGGCTGTTTCTGAAGGCTTATAATTTTGGTCTGTAGTAATCACATGGTATTTCAGGGGGTAGAATTGAATCACAGTGTTTACACACATAGAGAGAAATGCTCTTTAAAGTGTTTAAAAGGCCTGGCACATCTGTACTTTAAATATGTGTCTCCATTTAGCTCTTTAAAAGTTGTATGCAAGACGTCATCATACCTTGGTTGTGTCATTTTAGCAAAGACACAAATGATGAAGATGCACAGGGTGTCTCTAACAACTTGGTGAAAATAAGGATATGGTGGTGGGTTTTTTTTTCCACTAAGCTTTGCTTTTGTCGCTTTCCTTATGGGAGATAATAAATAGGCAATGAGATAAGCCTTCAGTGAGCGGAAAACTTATTACAAATAAGCAAATAGAGCCCATGCTTCAAACTGCCCAATGTTATCTGTTGGTGACCAGCTAGTCATATCAGAACTGAATATGGTCGTGAAGGATAAGGGCTCTGCCAGTTTCCTGCTGTGCTAGTTTATTTATGATGAATAGACATTTCTCCACTTTGTCCATTTTCTCCATTTCTTAGGCTTGTTTGATTTTGCCCAGCCTTTGCTAAAGTTCAGAGAAGTTCATTGTCTGTAGAAGTGAAGAAATCTAGTTGTTTTTGTCAGGCCTTTGACACAAGGATTTCTTTCCTTGGCGTAATTAGCTAACAAAAAACCTTTTTCTGTCTTTACTGGGGAAAAAATTCGAAGGAAGAACCTAGAAGACTCTTGTCCTGTGTTGTCTGTGTTAATGTTGCTTGGTAATAATTGTGTGTAATGAAAATGTTAACTTCCCTAGTGAGAGAGCTTTCTCAGGGTTGATACAGAAGTGGAAACAAGGGCAAGGGAAAGGCTGTTGGGACTCCACAAGTAGCAGTAATTGTAGTTAACCTTGGTGTCTGTAGTTTGTCACAGTCATTCATGCTGTTTCTTGTGAACATTGCAATCAAGATGGCTAAGTCTAATGTATGAATCCATTGTGCAGACTTCTCTCTTTTTCTTCTCCAGTGTATATATGAATTTATGTAATGAGTATCTGTTAAGGACCCTGTATAATTAATCTAAATCCACAAGTCACTCTTAAATCTAATACATTTCTGCATACACAAGTATTCAGCTTGTGTTTTAACTTGATGTATGTTCGCTGTTGCCCTCACGGACAGGAGGCAGCCTGTGTTTCAGGATGCAGCGTCATTGTGGATGTTTATCTCTTTTGGTGTTTTTTGCATTTGCATGTGAAAGTCAGCATATGAAAAACATTCTGTAAAGGTGCAAATAAACGTGACAAAGCATGCATGTGGTTTTGCAGCTGGGTTGCAATCATTGGTTTGCTTTCCTGTCAGTGTTTCTGACACAGCTTCTCTGACTTGAGGAGGCTGCAGCGGTTTCTGCTTCCTGTTTTACATGTAAATGCTTAGGTGCAGTGACCGTGTAGGCAATCCACAGGATTAGATTTAAGTAAATTTATAGTGTTATATTTAGTGTGTCACAAAATCAGTGCACAAGTTAGATACAGTTTCAGTAAGATAAAGTTGTTCCTCAGATTCTAGGAGGAGATTTGACTCAAGCTTTTTCTTCTAGCTGTTGCAGAAACAGAATGAAATTGATGGAACCTCTCTTAGGAGGGGAAAAAAAAATGCATTTTAAATTGAACCTGTTTTATTTGTCAATGCTTATGTTCAGTGTTCAGCTTAATGAGGGTTAGGTTGCTCTAGAAGATTGAGGTGAGCCCAAATTTGGGCTCACCTCAGAGTGCTTTGGTGGGGGTGTGTGTGTCAGTGATTTAACCTTCCAGTGTTGTTGATAGTCAAAAACAATCTTCACATTTCATGGCTGTTTGGTAGCCAAGTGAAAATTGCTGGAGGTTCTGGAGATGTGTCACTTTGTTTAAAGCTGTTAACAGGAAACTGAGCAGGAAAAAAACTAGAGTTCCGTAGCCAAAATCTCTACGAAGAAGCGAAAACAGGATGGATATAAAACCAGCTCTCTGCTCGTTATTTTAGAGCCTGTTGTTAATTAAAACTGACTTCCTGCAATTGTTCCCAAAACTGATACATGGTGCATTTTTTAAGAAATAAATATGCTGGAGACTCTGGCTTCTATGGAAGAAGGTCTTTATTGATTTCAGACAGTCGGAAACATCATATGAATTAACACTTAAAAGGGAATTGTCACTGGGCATTTAATGCTTTACAGTGTAAATTTTTCTTCCCTGTGTGGTAAACAGAACTTACAAACAGTTGTCTCCCAAAGCTTTACATCTGCCTCCATCATTTGGTACTCATCACAGAGGTTAAAGCTGGTATAATCTTTGGCCTTTCTGTACTAGGTTTTGGCGATGTTTCTGTCTCACGTAACGTAGCATAACATACTCGCCGTTGCAATAAAGTTGGTAGAATTTCAGAGCTTCCAAACCATTTGAAATAACGGTTCACAAATGCCAAGGAACCTGCCAAGAACGTGCAGTGTGGAGAGGTCTGCTCGGTACCGAGATTGTCCCGAGATTGGGCCTGGAAGGTCTTATGAATTTGCAAAGAACTTGGCGTCACCCCAAAGTCTGGGGTGCTTCGTTTCAGACGTGCCAACCTGTATGTTCAGAGCGGTCAAGTAATGCTTGGAAAATTAAGTCCTCAAACTAGTGATTTTTGAAGCCTTATCACTGTACCCTTTTGGGACACATAAAGGGACACACAGTTGGACTAAAATATCAAGGATCACAGTCACACTAAAATGAGAGGGACCAAAGACTCGCGTTGGGTCTTTTCCATGTACATGGGAGCGCGCTCCATGATAGGGGTTGGTCAGCTTCCAATGACCAATTCTTCCAATTTCTTATTCAAATATATGAAGTAGTAAGAGTAACAGATTGGTGGAAGAGCAATGTGTTTGCTACAGAATGTTATGTTAAAGAGTAATACATTTCTGTGAAAGACTGTTACTACTTCTGGTGGTATCTTTCTTGCAGTTTTGGAACCCTTGTTGCGATTGGAGTTACGGTTTGTGCAGTGATTGTGATTACTATTATTCTGTGCCTCACCTGTTCGTGTTGCTGTTTGTATAAAGCATGTCGAAGACCACGGCGTAAGTACCTGTATATTTATTTTCTTTTACACATCTATGAACAAGGCTTTCTCCCCGTCCCTGGAAAATTCTGTTATTATTTTCTAAGTATTTAGAAGTTCTGTTTCTCCACCCCACCCCCTATGTGTGGATTTGGGGATTTTTTTTGGGGGGGGGGTATTTTATTTTTTTTTTTCTTTAGGTAAGCAGGAGATAGAATGAAATTTAAAATTTTTTCCAGTCTCTTAAAAAGAGTGCAATCTTGAGCAAAGTCAGTAAGTGTAGCATAAAGAGGAAAGAGATCATGAAAACAAATTATTGCAGTTTATTACAAAGTGTTAATACTCCTTCATTCCAGTAAGAGATATAAACTAATGGACCAACATCAGCTCCTACAAAAATCAATGACTTAAAAGTCAGAAAGGCAAATACATATTATTTAGTGAAAGATGTACTAACGCATGGATGTATTAGTGTGTAGACAACACACAAAAGGAAACTCACTTGGGCAATCATGGTAGGAAGCTCCTTACCTAATAAAGGAGATCTTTATCACCTTAATCCTTAAAAGCAGTTCACATTTAAACATGAGCAATTTTTCCAGTCTCATACCAAATGATAGGTAACTCAGCTGCAGGGCTGAGTTCCTCGTTTTTGAAGAGTCCAAGAAAAAAAATTCTTTGCTCGTTGTTGTTGAGAAACATGGAGATAAGTTGGCTGCTATCCCAGTATGGGAAGGCTCTCATTACCACTGAGATCAAAGGAAGGATATGTCTCTAAAGAGACATACGTTTCTAAATCTTTCATGGAACTTTGAAAATGAAATTACCCAGATTTTGAAGTGAGAAACTGATCTTAAGAGAGAATGTTTTTTACGTTACTATTGTTGGCTGTCCCAGGTGATCTCCTAGAACCACCAGCGTTAACCGTGTTCCTTTTGCTTGTTTGTAGCTGTTGTGACCACCACTACTTCCACTACAGTGGTTCACTCTCCCTATCCCCAACAACAAGGAGTGCCACCCAACTACCCAGTAGCCCCATATCAAGGATATCAGCCTGTGGCTATCCAGCCACAACCGGGAATGCCGGTAGCACCGTACCCTGTACAGTATCCTCCCCCTTACCCCATGCAGCCGTCAGGACCCCCAGCTTATCATGAAACGGTGGCAGGTAAGGCAATGCTGAGTGTTTCTTCATCTCTTAAATAGCTAAAGAGACAGTTGTGTTGGAGCCGATCTTGTGTTACTTACATTTATTATTTTCTATGACTATATTAATGTAAATATAAACAAATTATGTAAAGTTCAAGTGAAGGTAGATGCTGTAAGTTACTTACTGAAGTTTCCCCGTCACCATTTCTATGTTAAGCATTTGGTGGTATATGGGACTGTCAGTGGATCCAGTAAAATGTTTTACTAATTCAGTTGAAATTTCGTATTAAAACCAAAGTCCAGTTAACACATGTATAGTAGTTGAATATTTCTACATATCCTTTCTAACCTAGTATTTACTAGATATTTTAATCTATACACAGATGGCGTTTTCTAGTAGTTTGTCTCTGTGTTTATAGAATAACAAGTTTCTGATGAACTTCAGACAAGTTTGCCACTGACTAGCAGTTAGAATTATTGGAATATTTTTTCTTCTGCTTTCCTTCTTTCACAGCATTGTTGTCATGCACCTTTATTGTTGTTATTACTAATTCCCACTTCTGCTGGTAATAGCTGTTCTCTGAACAATTCACTCCTGGCTGTTCAGAGAGACCAAAACTAGGCTGTTACCTGGCCTAGGATCTTCAAGCCCTCTTACCAACTACCCTGTTCATCTTTCTAAGTAACAAGCCTGAACAGTAGGTAATGCCCTTAGAAAGCAACTCTTTCCTGACAACTCAAATACAAAATGGCTGTTCCTGGTCTTAAGCATTTGCAAACCACTTAAAAATTGTACATTAACAATGTGCAAACCAGCCCACCATGTAAAAACACAGACTTGGCAGGCCTGTTGACTTTATTTTTCTGTTGTAAACTTTGAAGCACCTGTGGGTTTTATGAGATTACCCCAAAGTGCTTTGGTTTCATCTTTATCATTTGAGGGAGCCAAAAAACTAGTCATTTTGGTTCTCCTACTCCCTGGTTTCTCAAACTGTTGCTGGTTTGTTAGTTCTTAAAATACTTTTTTTTTTTTCCTGGGAAAAATCTTGAAGCACTTTTCATGTTGCCAGCTGAGAATGCCTCAAAATGAGAGCTCTTCCTTTTATTTCTCCTGTCTATTAACCACGGGGAAGTCTCTTAATTAGGTCACATGTAAGGGAGAGAATACCTGCTCTGTCACACAGCAGCCAAACGCACTCACTTTACAAGATCAGCAAAAGATAACCACACTTATGTTCCAGGGATCTGATCAGGTGCTGCATTATATGTCAAAATCTTTAATGAGCTTGGTAATGGTGGACGCTTTTTTTCTCTTTTAATTTTTTAATTAACTCTGTGACATTTACCAGAAAGCATTCTCCCTGAAGGAATCCGAAGATGCTTTCTCTAGTCTTCTTGCCCAGTGGTTTATTTTCACTTCTATATGTGCATACTGCTATCATGTATATCCTGTTGTCTGTGCATCTCTGACTTCCACTGGTTGTTTGTTTGGACCAGACCTGTTCCTTTTTGTTGGGTTGGTTGTTTTTTTTAAGAGTATAATTCTCCCCTGAAGGCTAACCATGTGCTTGTGGCTACCATAATACACACGTGCACTCAAGCATCAAAATAACCCCACAAGAACAAAGGTCTTTGATCTTACTTATGAAATGCAGATGCCTTATGAGTTAGCACAAACTGTTCTCAGGTCCAGTTAAGATGCTAGGCAAGTTGAACCTCTTAACTGTATCTCAAAACAGAAGTTGCCAATGTAGAATTCAGAATGTATATTTTACAAATCTGTTGTGTTTTTTTTTTTTTTCCTTGTGTTTTGCTTTTGCAGCTGGTGCTGGAGCACCTTACCCAGTCAGCCAGCCCCCTTACAACCCTGCTTATGTGGATCCTCAGAAGCCCACCTATTGAAAAGATCTTCTACTATGCTTCTGTATACAAAACTTTGTAAAGTATAATTTGTGCTGTTTACACTGTGCGACTGTAGTATATTTTTCTGGAAGACAGCAATCTTTTGTCCAAGTAAAGTGAAAGTTAATTCAGTATCTTTTTTGGGTTTTTTTTAAATGCTTTGAGTATGAGGAAGAAGTATTTTTCTTGCAGAAGTTGTTAATTTATACCTCAAGCAAATCCAAAAGGAGATATTTTTTTTATTTACTATGAGAAAAGCATGAAGAAGGAATACTTCAGAAATAAGAACCACAATAACATTTGCTGTGCAATAATTTTGAAAGGAATGGTCTAATACGAGCGTTGTCAAACACCCAAAGCTGTAGCAATCTTTTGCACAGTATTAAAACATAAAAACTTAATCTCTAAGAAACTACCTGATATATGTTACGTATGTTCTGCCTGTTTTGAAGCTACTATCATTATTGTAGGTAATTGAAATACATTTCATTTACCATTCAAAAGGGAATTTTACTTTTTTTGAAATGCATTTGCCTTCAGTAGCAGATAGCAAACCACGTTTCATTATCTTTGGACAAATTGCATTTTTCTGTGCTAAATAGTACGAGTTGATAAATTCCTTGTTTTCTTTCCCAATTTTAAGGCTTAGAAACTGTGCCTTCATTGGGTGTTTTCTCAGGCCATCTTGATTTATAGCTAGAAACTAACAACAAAATCAAACTCTCTGCCACTTAGTAGAACAAATACATCAAAAGCTGAAAACCTGAGAGTTCTTAATAAAAATTATTGGACAAGTATTTGTTATCCAAGTATTATTGGACAAGCTTGCCTAAGTCATATCTTGTTGATATGTTTGAAAGGGAAATTAGCACCTTAATCGTGTGTTCAGTCCAGTGTTCAATCCTGCCTCATCAGAAGGAAGGAATTCATTTTTTACAAGAGATGCAATGTCAGAAATAGATTAGGGGTTTTAAATGCTTAGGGTTTGTCACTATCTTGTCTCTGGTGGGAACTGTAGACGGCAGGAACCTAGGGATGACGGAGCTGGATAAACTGTCTGCATTTGAAGAATAATATATAGGGGGGATAAGAAATCCCTGCCCAACACACAGTAGAGATTAAGCCTCCCTTTTGTCTTCAACATTCACATAAAGCTGAGAAGAGACCGAGAAGTCAGGGAAGGGAGTCACAGCGAGGTTATGTATTTTCAAGAAGGCAGTGCTTGCAGTCACGAAACCTCTGGAGATATCCTCATGGTTGTTATCAGTGTTTGCAAGGCTTTTGGCTCTATACACATTGTGTTGATAACCGAATCATATTTTTTTTAGTGTCCTCTACAGTTTTATCTTTTCTAACCTTGAAATACAATTTGTTACTCCTCAGTACAGCTATCTAGTCTGTTGTATGCATCACTGTGACATAATTAGTGAAATAGTTTTGACATATCTCATATACTGATTCTACTTTTTTAGAGAGGCCATTAAGCGATTGTATTTAGGGTATTTTGCTGTTTGAAAAACATAGACGGTGTCATTGTTTTACCTCAGATAATGGATGGAAACTGCTGCTGTCAAAGGCAGCCTTATTTCTCTTCCTGATTTTTGAGTCTCTGGGTCATTCCACTTCTTTTTTCAAGAAAGTCTTCAGGGCATTTCAGGAGAAACTTGTAGACAAGTTTTTAGCATTGGGATTCATGACAGCCTAGGCCCTTCTGTTACACCTCTCTAAGTGTTGAAGTTAACAGCATGAAATGGTGCCAAGAGGCATGCACAGAGCATGCACACCCTGTACCTGTGTGATCCTCCTCTTTCCTGCCTTGTCAGCTGAGAAATTGGGCAATGCTTCCTTACGCTGTTAGGAGTTACGTGAGAATAACTGAAAGTGGACAGTGTCTCCTGTATGGAGACTGAAGTGTTTCCCTAGAAATCTGGAAATTTTATGTGTGGGACGGCACTGAATAACTGCAGAAATAATTCCCTTGCTATAGATCCTGCCCCTATGTGTTTATTCATATAGAAGGAGGGCAGAGACTATTCCAGCACTTTTGTTAACCAGCTGCCTGGATGGAGTCTGGCCAGCCAGATGCAGCCAGCGAGCACAGCTGCTGTGCAGCTCTCGGAGCACAGGTACAGCGTTCTAGTGTCGGGCTTCATGAGGCTGTTGCTCTGCACTGCTCTTCCTTTCCTCCGTCTGCTGTGACAAAGCATACAGCTCGTGGCAGTGTTAGTAGGGTTATGCTTTGGTTATGAAAGGAAAATCTGTAATTTCTTGAGAAGTTGGCTCAGTCGTCTGCCATCAACTCTAAGGAAAAGATAGCGGCAACAATAACAGAGGTCCCCAAATCTGAAGTTTTGGTGTAGATGTTGTACAGACCAAATAAATTGCCCTGAACACCACTGTACGGTGGGAGGAGATGAGGAGTAGGGTTAAGGAGCTTGAAAATGTACACCTTTCCTTCAGTGAACATATGCTAATGATAACTATATACAAGTGAAGAGATGAATCGTTAATATACAAGGATCTACTTTAGTAGTAGTATTACTGCTTCAGTTACAAAACTCGTTGAAAGAAAAGGGTCCACTTCACTTCATAATGGGAGTAATTAATCAGATCTTTTCTTATTGTTAGTGTATTAATCATCATTAACAATATGGGGTAGGACCAAATTTTATTCAGTTGTCACTGTGCAACCTCTGGAAACTTGTTTTTGTAGAGTTAAGAGAATGGGATAATTCTATGGAGAAGTTGATCCATAAACTTTTCATTTAGGCACTGCTGATGTGTCAGTCCAAGTAGCTATTGCCTTCATGTCGATGTAGTTATCCACAGTGCCGTAGGGGAGGGGGAGTGGAATTAAAATTTTAAGTCTTGAAAGAGTATATGTTAATTTTTTTTAATTCTGTAAGTGCCTTTGTTTCAGAAATGTTTTGTGAAATTAAGTACAGTAGAATATTCTGTTGTACTGAATTTACCAGATAATCATTGTTGATTTTATTACATCCTGTAACCTAGCTTTGTACGTTGTTTGTAGTTTAAATGTAAGTATTCAAAAGAAATGGCATAAACTCTATGCACCTTTGTAATAAATGCAGTGTTTGAAGTATATTCTATCCATTTTGTTTTCTTAGCCTCAATTTGAGTATTATTTAGGAGTGTGTCTGCAAAGCTACATTTTACTTCACTGTGTTTGACAGTTAGTGTTACCAAGTACGCTTGAAGTTGCCTTGTATCATGAATGTCACTTTTGTTAGTGGAGACTGAAGCACAATCAAAATTACAGGTTGCAACCTAAAGTGAGGACAGTATAAGCTCCCGATGATACTCCGACAGTATGCTTCTAAGCTAATCTAAAAGGATTGCTTCTATGGCCTTGTCTAGCCTAAGGACTGAATTAAATGCATGATGTTTGAATGCATTAGGTAACAAATCCCAAGACATTTGAAAAACCTGGTGTAGACAAGATGGTAGACTTCAAAGAAGTCTATAATTTGATTAAAGTTTAATATCTTCTCAACATGTATTTCGACTTGTTGAATATCGTGCCTCCTATCAACTTGACCAATTCAGCCTGTGGTAAGTGATGCTTTCTACTCTGTGAAAACATTTTTCCCAATTTTTTTTGTGTGTGTACTTTCAATGGTTTTGAAAAAAATGCTTTTGAAAGGTTGTATTCATGTCCCTGACTCGTTAGTCTTTCACTTGAAAATATATTCTTTGAGCAAGTCAAGAATGCTTTTTATAAGACACCAAGTAGTACTGAATAGGATTTAAAAGAAAAGGGAGGGGGTGGAAACACAAACAAACACACACACACACCCCCCAACTTGTTCTGAAAGAGTTGTTTATCACGGAATAATCAAGTAGTTTTGGAATGTTAGTTCTCAAATTTTTTGAAGGTTCAGCTGCAGCCTGATAATGTCTTGCAGATGAAATGTAGACCACTTCCAGTTTTATGTCACATTTTCTCAACAGAATTTCTATTAGTTAACTGGGGACAGCAGACAAAATGTATGCTTCTAAAAACCTAAATCTAGGAAACAAATACAGGTATTATCTGGGCTAGAAATTACACCAGGAAATTGCAGTTATTTTTGATGTTTTTGTTGCCACTACTTCTTAGTTCATTTGGTTTTCTTTTCCCATGACTTTTTAGCGCAGGTGCATCCGTGCAATATGGCTGAATTTGAGAAGTGACAAGCAGAGAAGCCCGCTTCTGTTCAGAGAAAAGCTGCGTGCCTTCCCTTCTCTCTGCGCACAGGCCTGAGGAACAGGAGCTAGTGTTTTGTGTAAAACCTTCAGATTTCCTTTAATGAGCACACAGGGTCTCAAAGGTACCCTCACCCTCCAAAATTGCTGCAGAATGTTATATAGGAGAGCAAACTGCTGAACTAAAAAGTCGAGAGCCCGGGGTTAGGTGGGGAATACTCATAACATTTAATCAGCAGTTGTTTACGGTAGCATGAATTTTTCCAGAACAAAACTTGGCATGCATCTTAAAACCCATGGCAGGGTTGCATGGAGGAGCTGGACACAAAGGAGGGAAAAACTTTAGCAATTCTTGCCAAACAAGCAATTATCTCCTTTTTTTTTTTTTTTTTTTCCCCCCTCTTTTTCAAGTATGGAAACTTAATATCATATCTAGGCACCTATGATAACTTGCCAGGTTTGCTTTAGCCAGTGGTTTGGGACCTGTTTTGTTTCCCTCTGGTTACTATTTGATTTGTTAGTATAGTCTGCATCACAGGAACCTGGTCTGATTTACAACTTTTAAGTAAGCTGTATAGGAGGTAAAAAAAGTACCCAAGCTAAGCCTGTTAGAGGTGAGATAAAGCTGAAGAAAATAAGTTATTTTATCCTTTCAAGAGCTCAGGCATCTGTATTGATGGAGTAGTCTCCTCTGCTTCACCTTGTTATGGCAGTCTCCACTACGGGCGAGTTAGCCATGTTATAAAGGATGTCCTGTTGTAAAGTGATTTCTTTGGGTTTGAGATCCAACTAAC